ACACACACACACACACACACACACACACACACACACACACACACACACACACAGTATATATCTCACCGTAACAAAAGAAGGGCATCCTCCAGTCACAGGGACAGTCCTCCCAGCCTCCATCGTCTAACGAAGCTATGGCACAGTTCTCCTGCGCACTGTTGGGTTCTCCTGCTCTCCAGTTGTTCAGCAGMAGCTTCCTTCCATCCACCCACTTCCAGGAGTCTCTGTGGAGACCGATCCAGGTGAACCTTTTCGTGGGCACCAGCTGCCTGATCCTCTCGTTCTCCTCCGTGTTCCTGACGCTGGCCAGGTCCGTGTGATGTTCTCTGCAGTAGCTCTGAGCTTCAGACCAGCTCATGGTTTGGTTGATGAAGAAAAACGACACATCCTGTCCTGATTTCAAAATATAAGAGAAACACGTCAGGGTCTGCATGGAACTGCAGAACAAACGTTAAAACCTCTGGAACCCACCGCTGACGTTGGAGCAGACTGCTGTGAGGGACAAACGACAGTCCATGTCGTTCCACTGTCCGGTGCTGAACATCCCCACACAGAACTCTGACAGCCGGAAGTTGTTTGGTTCTCCGGAGGACCAGTTTCTGAAAGCCGTCTCTCCGGTTTTGTAGAAATTCCCATCAGACAGGGACCACTTCCAGCCGTTCACATCATCATAGAGTCCAATCCAGGCCCGCTGCAAGAAACAAGAAATGAAAAGTTAATAAAAGTCAAACAAACCATATCTGATGACAGAGAAGCAGAAATCAAAACTGGACCAAGAACCAGAGGACCAACAGTATTCAGTCAGCTGGGAGTGATTAACAAGTGGAAACAGCTGAAGTTTAAGAACATGAGGAGCAGGATGAAGGAGGACAGACTGAGAGACAACAGGAAACAAACTGAACATCAGATTTTCAAAATAAAAGATAACAAAAACTGTTTAAACAATCAGAGGAAAAACATGAGCTTTACATGTGTTAAGCTTATGTTGGAGACCATGCTGTCCAGGTCCACCATGTCTTTCAGAACCGTCATGTCCTCATTTCTGTCCAGAGACACCAGGTCCATGTAGTTCTGTCTGCAGAAGCTCCGAGCTTCAGTCCAGGTCTTCAGCTGGTTGATGAAATAAAGACCACCCTGAGGGAGCGAGGAGACGCCACACAGAACTGCAACGACACACAGATCCAGACCCGTCAGGTTTAATGTTCATCATCATCATCATCATCATCATCATCATCATCATCATCACACTCATCATCATCAGTCCTTTAGTCTTTGTGGGACATAAAGACACCACATAGCAGACAGATGTGGGCCAGGTCAGGCAAAAATGGCACAGTTTTGAAGATGCCATGTCTGGCCCAGTTGTGGTTTGGTTTATGTGGTGTTAGCCCTTACATGAATCACCTCTGGATAAACCACATCTGGGGCCATCACTGCGTTATCTGGGCCGAGCGTTAGAGCATTGTGTGGACCAGAACTGGGCTGGACTAATTTTGTTATAGATGGACAGATGGATGGATGATAGATGGATGGACGGATGGATGGATGATAGATGGATGGACGGATGGATGGATGATCAGATCTCTGTATGTATGTATGTATGTATGTATTAAACTAAAAAAACATTTAAAATTGACAAGTTGATACAATTTTCTTATAATATTTCCTTATAATAAAACCATGAACCACTCTATGCTGATGACACTTTGATTTTATGAAAATTGACTCAAACCGAAGCGTTTGGGATTTAAAATGCAAAATTTGTTCACCAGAAATAAAATGTGCTCCATTCCCAGCAAATATGAAAGTCTCCAGAGCACGACTACAGAAAGTAGAGGCAATAAAAAGAATTTGAGCCTAAACTCTGACCTGATGCAGCTGCGATGAACTGAAGCCATTTCTTCATCTTGCTCCTGGTTTCTTCCTTCAGCCTCTGCAGATCTGCTGAAATGATTTATCTGCAGAAAGGAGGCAAATCATTTGCACTTTTTACTTTTAAGACCTGATGCATGCTAGAAAGTCAAAACTATTCAAACTAACTCATTTACCTGCCAATTTACAAACCGCTCATTTGCCTCCAGGTTCCAAGAATCACGAATAAACAAAAACAGGGWATGAAATTTAACGATAAATAAAAACTACTAAAGGTCAGGATGTAAAGTCCCAGCCTTTCTGAAACTCAATTCTGGAGTTTATTGCTTTTAATGTGTAGGAGAAACTCAGGTCTGTCCCCTGGATTCACCTGCAGATTAAACTTCGCCCCCCTCCCTCCTGAGGGTCCTCAGGGTCTTTATTAGTTCAGCTCCCAGAGATGTTTTGTTCACATGCAGGAAGATGAGAATTAAAGGGAAAGTGGCTGGGTATCAGGCTCAGTGCTGATCAGTAACCTCCCCTGTCCACYCCACACAAAATAAAACTTCTCTGTCCTGAACATGTTGGTCCTCAGAGTGTCCTTTGTCTTTGAGGTGGAAGACGGCGTAGAGCTGCTCTGTTGAACCATGTGAGAGGTTGTTGAGTTTCTATAATATGAAGCTCTGACCTGCAGACCCAGTTGGGGTTTGGGGGTCCTGTCCTCAGGATGGACCAGTCTGTCTCAGGGTCCTGTTGGGTTAGAGACGGACCACGATGTTGAGTTTCTCAGAAACAGGTGAGATGTTTTGTTGATCTTCTTCCTGTCGAGTGTTTTTACTGTACTACTCTGATTTGACAGAAGTCCACCCAGTTGGACCCACAGGTCTGGAGACATTCTGTCCTCGTGGGGACATGTTTGGACCGATGCTTCAGAGTTCTGATGACAGGTTGTGTTCTGGTTGGTGGTGAGAGTCTAACAGACGGTTCTGGTCCACATCAGCTGGTTTCCTGCTGTTAACGTCCTCTCTGATTACCTTGTTGTTGTGTTTATGTTCTCATTTTTTGTTGGTTTTAAAAACTTAGAGAAAACTTATAATCAAAGTAAAGAGAAATTTGACTTCTTTAGTTCCTGAGAAAAGACTCCAGTCCAGCGAGTTTTTATAAATGAAAGAGAAATAGAAATAATTCAGAAGCAAAGTTCTGATTAAAATTCAGATGTTTTTATTCTGTCAGATCTTTACAAATGAACAACTTTTACATGTGAATATATTTATCATTTATCATAGATCAGAGAAAATGTACTAAATATGTCAAAAACAAGTCAATGTACCAACAAATCAACAACCAACAGTGAGTAATTTTTGAATGCTATTGGAGACAAAACTTCTACAGTTGATGTTAGATTCTAAACTATAATAGTTCCTGGACTAACTATGAAAGGGCTTACAACATGGTGTCCATTTTAAGTTTAAGGTTTGCCTTTTTATTTAATTAAGATCACTGTCAGCTACCACCACACCAATTTTCAGCCCAGTTTGTCTTAAAATAACTGAGTTATCATGTTAATATAAATTCTAATGGCCATCTTGAAGTTTTATTTAACGTTCAGAAATTGTTAAAGCTTGTTCTCAGCTACTATTATTCCAGTTTTCAGTTCTGTAAATCTAAATTAGGCTTTGCTGTAAGCTCAAATTTGAGAGTAGCATTCAGAATGTGTTGAATTAGCTCTCAGCTCCCATTCTACTAAATTTCAGCTTTGTATGTCTCAAAAATGCTGAGAATTACACAAACTCCTTCTTTCTCCTCCGACTCAAAAGTTTAATCTGCCCAGTAACAGCCTCAGCCAATCAGAAGGCCAGATTGTGATAGGGGGTGGGGCAGCGCAGATGCATATTTCTTGCTTGTCAAAATGAGAAACTAGCTGAAATATTTTGTTTTTACACAAACTATAATATTTAATTTCAAACTATAAACACTAGAAAAAAGAAATTAAGAAAACATCTTTTTGTTTAAAACTCTTCAGTCATCTTTGTGGAAAATCTTCCCATCTGACTGTGTCCTCCAGCTCAGTTGGACATCTTCAGTCCGTCCCCCGTCCATCAGCTTCTGTCTGAACTGAAGGAGAAAAAAAGATAGATTGGTGGTTAGTTAGATAGATGAGTGGGTGGGTAGATAGATGGTAAATAGATGGGTGGATAGATAGTTGGATGATAGATGGGTAGTTGGGTAGATAGGTATATAGGTGGGTGAGTAAATGGGTAGATTGATGAGTAAATGGGTAAGAAGATGTATAGGTGGGTAGAAAGATCTATAGACAGATGGACAAATAAATAGGTAGATGTGTGAGTAGATAAAAGGATAGATTTATAGATGGGTAGGTAGATAGCTGGGTAAAGGGTCAGATAGATGGGTGGGTGGGCAGACAGGTATATACGTAGTNTGTTTAAAAAGTGAGTTGATTTGTTATATTGAAATGTCTCCTGAGTGAGGAAAAATACACGCACACAGTTTTTTTTAATATTAATTGACAAAAGATTATCTTGAAGCCAACCATGAAATGTCTGAAGATCTGCTTGTAACTGACTATCAATAGATTCAATATTGAAATCAGACAAAAAA